TATTTAAACGACAGTTATGAAAATCGGTTTAGGCTGAGAAATTGGTTTTCGATTCAGTTTTTGTTCTATTGTTAATTAATGCGAGACTAACTTTCCAAATACATTCTTCATACATTATTCTTATTTTATAATACAGAGTACTCGTTCGTCCGATATAACTATATTATCAGTAATTTTGCTTTTAGTAAAACTTGGATCTCTACAAACAATGTCGTAGACTTTCTCTATGATTTATGGTGTTTTTTCACTTTTTGAACGCCCACTACGTGGTTCATCTTCAATGCTTACATTTTAAATCTAAAACTCATCAATCCGCAGTTATAAATGATGGAGCATTAATGTACCACATTTACCATTTTTTATGAAGATCTGTTGCTGGTAAACCTTCTACAACAAAGAACTATATCACTGCGCGATATTCAGTTTTTTCTATTGTGACAAAATCACCGATATATCAGCTTTAAATGGGGTGTAAAAAAAGACAAAATTGACAAATCGAAATAAACAACTGATTGTATTCAGTTGAAAGATGAAATGTCAAAGTAGCGTACTAATTTTGATTCTTCTACTGGTTAATTGGTGTCGCTTTCAAAACTTTTCAGCTAACCATATATGACCTGTAATAAATATTAATATATTTACCATGATGATGGATATTGGGTCATGTTGGGCAGCCAAAAATTCAATTAATTAAAATAATAGAATAAGAATTGTTGCAGTTCACTACTTTTCGAAAAAAAAGCCATCTCTATTTAATATATAGTACATAGAACTACTTATGCTTTGAAAACCTTGATTCATTAACTGCTACCATTTGTTTATCAAATGTAACTACGACTACCTCAGTTTATTTACTAAACATGGATGTAATCTTGCCTATACTTAAACTTCATCCTACCTAAATTTAATACTTCTCATGGTAGCCATTCAGTACAGATAACACAAGTTGTAATAAAAACATAAATTTATGGTCCCTTTACATCCACTCTTATCGCAACAAGCAATATCTAACAAATTTTTGGGTTAAGGAACTTTTGACTCGGGGGACAAATGAAATTTTACTCTCACTTAACTTAGCTTCGGTATAATAAATAATTTAACCGCACATTTTTAACTGTTCTGGCACTTCCTGCATTTAAGCATTTTCAACTTTCATCCTTTGGATGATAAAGATGAAGATAAATATTTGTTTATATGTTTCTTATGTGTGGGAGTGTGGAGTATCTTATGTGAGGAACCTTTCGCTTGATGTTCGTATGAGCCACGGCTGTTACTTGTTTATCTTTGACATATGCAAAAATAATATTAAATCAATCTTTGCTGTTTTTACGAGATATTGATTCGCACTTTTCAAGCGTTCTACACGGATCTGAACGCTGTTGAAGTAAAATAACTGTTGAAGAGCATCTTTAATAGTAACTGCACATGTAGTAACACACTTTTTTATTTATTTATTTTTTTTTTGTGTTTTTTTTTGTTTATTTGACTGCGCGTGTCTTGCGTGTCTGTGATTTTATTGCTGCACATTGATGCATACTTAACAATGCCATCAAAAAGATACAATATCATGAGCGAGCGTGTTAAGATACTTACATGAATATAAGCAAGGAACTGAAATAAAAATCAATGACATAAATTTAAGATTAAAGATGCTCATGTTTAAATTATTAAAGCCGCTTATGAGCTGCATTATGATAATGAAAATAAAATTGATAAGATGATTTCAATAAGTAATTGATGATATCTGATTGTAATTTATTATTTCGATTGCAATTACTTAATTTTAAAAATGTGAAAAGCAATACGGATGATATAAAGAATATAAGATTGATATGATTAAATCATATATTATTTTTTTTTGTTTTATTTTTATACTTAAAATTTTTTTTTTTTTTGTATCTTGTACTATAAAGATACTTTTTTTCGATTTTTTTTCTTGTGTATGTTGTGCAAATATCACTTAAAATTGAGTTCCTGTAGGCACTTTGACATTTCTCTGATTTGTGCCCACTTTTTGGGTTTTTCTCACAACATTGCTAAATGGCAAATCATATTTCTTTGGATTTGACATTTTGAGAAACAAAAATTTATGGAGTCGTTTTAAAAATTTTCTTCAAAAACATCATAACAACTTAGAGGCCGTTTATTTCCAACCAGTACGAAATTTATTTATATATAAAGAAAAATATTGTTTTTAAAGTAATTATACTGTCGACATAAATTACCAGTAGCAAATTTATTAATGACTTGTATTTTATTTTTAATAGTCCGTGTAGCATAAAAATTTATCTATCTTAAAATAACCAACTATTTTATTTGTTTTAATCACTCAAAATTATATTTTATTATATATGTGTTTTCGTCATCAGTTAATAGATTTAAGTCCACCATTATATTACTTTTAATATGGATGGGTTAATGAAAAAATTAATGAACTAACATAAACCTGACATTTAAATTTGTTTTTAAATGTTTTGCATAAGAAGTTCTTAATAGCTAATAGCTCAGACTATAGATTTTAATGGTAGTTAACAATTTTGTAGCTTAAATTATATGTTAGTCATATAAATATAATATTGTACAACAATTGTTTATTAATGAGTATTTCAAAAATCACATCTATTATTATTAATTTTTTAATGACACCAAATGTTTTAGTTATTGAGAGAAGGAGAAGCCTAAAGTCCACTGTGACACCATATAACGATTAACTCCATATTCTCCACAATCTCTAGTATACCATTTGGAGTCAAGAACGAACCTTATAAGTTGTAAAGAGACTTCTAAGGAGTTAACAAATTATATAGACAGAATAAATTTTTCATTTTCTTCAATATATCATTTGAAGGAAACGATTAAATATTCATAACTTTATTGACATAATTTGAAACTTATATTAATGATTAAATATATGTCAAACTACGACTTTATAATATTAAAATGTGGATCTCAAAAATTCATTACTTGGTACAAAGTGGATTTATGTGCTTTTGAACAGATATAATTCCAAGAGCTCTTCGAGACAACTTATCGTTCATATCATTCATAGGTATGATATCATTCATTGGTTTAACCAAAAGCAAAGATATGGATATGTTTATAGCCAAGCAGTCTTATGCAGTACTTGAAGACAGGTTCCCGATTTATATATAAAAGTATTGAATACTTAATTTAATATATTATATCAAGTATTGAATAAAGATATTCAAATTTGTTGAAATAACCTAAATAACTTTTAATTAATGCAAAAATAATTTTAAAGGTCTTTGCGTCCTTCCCCTTTGACCAGTTACTCCAATTTAATACAAATATTGGATCTCACAATTTCAATTGGCGCGAACCAACTATTTGATTTCATTGAAAGAACCTTTTTTATAGAAGGTTTTCAGTTTGTATCAACATGAATGATCTAAATATATATTGCCAAACGTATCATCTCTCAGCATTGTCAATTGCGACAAGCCTGACACTAACCTTGTGACAGAAAATCAACTTAATGTAGGAACTCACTAAATATATGGGGGTACTACGCCACCTATCTTAAAAGAACTGGTTGCAGTAAGGAGCCGCCATGTTGATAAAAGACTCTCTCCAGTTTTCGTGAATTTTCAGTCATAGTTTTTACTGAGTAAACAAAATTTTGAAGTTCCTTACGACTGCCCTCTGCCTTTCTACTGCCACATTTTTTTCTCTAATCAGTTCGCATCTCACAATTCTTTATCAGAGTTGCACCACTTCGGTCAACTATAGAACGACAAGGGTTAATAATTTAAAAACATAGTCTCTTAGTAAATAGGTGGAGACGTGTATTATAAGTAATAGAAAGTGGATTGCATGATGAAAATTCAAATCTTTATACTATCCCAAATAGCTGTATAAATTATTTTAAGAGTCCGGCTTGTCACACCTGACAATTCTGAGAGACTTTCTACAAAAAAGGTTCTTTCAATGAAATTAAATAATTGGTTCATATTAATTGCAATTGTGAACTTTCTATTACGTCGAAAGTGATGTGTCTTAATACGAAAAGAAACTATTTAAAAGTTAAAAAGGTTTGAATAGAAATAAAAAGACAACAACATAAATTTTTTAGGTAATTTACTGCGGTTTGGATGCTAATACAACGCTGTTTCAAGTATTGACAAGTATTTATCATCAGTGAACTTAGAATATATTGAACTCTTTTAATTAGTTAATAGTCCGTATGTAATAGAGCTCGTGCTTGTCCAATTAGAAGCGATGACTAATGATGTTTTTCCACAAATACCCAAGGCTGCACAATTTTCAATGCTCAAGTTTCAATTTTTTTTGTCAAATTTTTTTTATTTTTTAAGTGACATTCTAATTAGAACTAGCTTATAAACTATAGCTTTATTTGGAAACACAAGTTCAACGAATTGAGAGTTATTTGTTTTAAATAATTCATTGAATTTTTTTTTCAAATTTGTACTAAAATTAAAAGTTGCTGGGCATATTAGGCAACAGTGATGAGCATTGGAAGTGCCATTAAAGTATTTTCTTTAGAACGTTAAATTATTTAAAATTTATTTATAATTTTATTAAATTGTCTTTATTACTATCAGCAATGTAATTTTTGTTATTTTTGCAATTAAAATATTCAATTATACTTTGTTAAGACACAACAAAGTGTCTGAGTCTAAAAATATACTCAATTGAAGTAACTGCAATTTGCTACTATATTTTCTCTTCAAATATATAGTAAATATTATCTAATATTGAAAGTATAGCTTCCTAATTGCTACCTAAACAAGCAGTAACAAACATTAAATATTAAATTTAGTAATTAGCTTAATTAAAAGTATATTACATTAGTTTGTTATCAGTTGTTTGAAGCAAGAAGAAACCATGTTAGTAAAAAATTATAGAAAAAAATGAGGAGTCTGAAGTGACTTAAGTAATTGGCATTGAAGTTGTAAATGTAATATAATGCAAGTTGCAATCAGAATAGATAAGTTTTGATTTCATTGAAATATGTATATAAGGTCACTGCCACTGCAAGTCGTAGCAGTAGAAAGTTAAAAGAGTCCAATAGAACATTTTGACTAGTTAAGAAGAAACTGGTGATATTAACTATGAGAGCTTGTAAGTAGTACTAGTAACTTGGAAGAGACATAAATCACTACAACAACAAATATTTCTAATTTTAGTTCACTTCGTACTAATTGCCCTTTTCCTGGCACCGGCTTTAATTGATGCCAATGCCAATTCGGCCTACAAACGACCATATCGTCCCATTGATTCTCTACGTCCCTACAGACCAAATCGTCCATTATATCGCCCTAACACAATTAACCGATATGCACCTGATTGTAGCCGTTATGTTAATGTTGCCTTCCTACCAGATCAACGTAGTTGTTCTAATTTCTACATGTGCATTGATGGTCGCGCCATACGCAAAGAATGTCCAAGAGGTTTCTATTTCGATACCTTAACATATCGTTGCAATTTCGCACCTTTTGTAAATTGTGATTTAAATCGCAATCCATACAATGTACATGTACCAATCGAGGATACAACATGTGAACCAGAAGAGGAACCAATTACTCCACCTTGTGAACCAGAGGAAGAACAAACTACACCACCTTGTGAACCAGAGGATGAAACAACTACACCACCTTGTGTACCAGAAGAGGAAACAACTACACCACCTTGTGAACCAGAAACTTTACCACCAACACCACCACCTTGTGAGCAAGAAACTACAACCACAACTCCCTGCACCACAACTACTACCACGACTACTACTACCACAACAACTACTACCACCACCACTACTACTACTACTACTACCACCACCACCACCACCACTACTACTACTACCACCACAACTACAACAACCACTACAACTACAACAACAACTACTACCACAACTACAACGACAACTACTTGTGCCACAACTACTCCAACTCCTTGCACCGAACCTGAAACTACTACCCCACCATGCGAAACTACAACAGTTTGCATTACAACAACGCCCTGTGCGAATGCAGATTCCGCACCAATATTGCGTAGTCATGCCGATTGTATGTATGAAGAAGACGGTACATATCTCTTAGATGCAAACCATTGTCGTCGTTACTATGTTTGCGTAAATAATGCTGTCCGCACCCTCAAGTGCCGATATGGTCAATGGTTTGACTATGAACAGGGTACTTGCCGCAACCAACGATATGTCAGAAATTGTCCAGCCCAACGTTCCTAAATGATGCGATGCAACGATTACAATACTCGACGTTACGTTTTAACTAACTGTTAATAGTTTCCATAAAAATTTAGTTCTCATATTAATATTCCTTACACATATGTGCACATATGCGTTCAACTAAGAGATTCTATAGATTTTGTGAAATTCTTTCCAATAAATTTTAGTGGCATTAAATTATACACAGACGGTCTTTCTATTATCTCTATTAATAATTATTTATTTTAGTATAGTACGATCACGAGAACTTAAGGTCTATTCACATTGATTAGGTACCTTTTCCAAACAAATTGACATCAATGATGAAAAACCGAAACCATGCGATTCAAGTATTGGACACAATTAATTCATTTAGATATAGCTTATTTGCATTGATAATGGATACTAAGATGGAGATATAGGAATATTTTAGTAAATTAATCGTTATATATGTTACAGTAAAGAATAATCATACTGCGAAGTACTTAGACATGAGGATATAATAGTGCAATGCTTGCATTGTCCTAATTTTAAATCGGGGGTCTGGGAATAGCACCTTTAATATTACTAATTGCACAATATCGTAATATTTATTATAGAAAAAAGAAATATATTTATTTACATATTAAATGCTTTGATTTCATACTTTCAGATAATTATAATAATTCAGATAGTTCAGATAATTAAAATATAAAGTCTTTATTGCAGATCTAGTCATTCGATGATACCAAAATTAGAAAATAGTAAGATTTAATTTTGGGAATTCTACCAGTTTAATAATTATGTTAAAACTTAATAACTTATCAAAAATCAAACATTTGTTTTAAATAAACGGATTTATAATTATATAAATTAAACAACACATAATACTTCTCCAAAATCCAAAGTTAGTTATAAATCGTTTTAGAAATATATGTACAAGAATAATATTTTCTGAGATCTAGTAAATTACAATAATCGACTTTATTAGATTTCTGATCGCATTCTGATAGAATATTTTACTTTAAAAAGTTTTTAATTGCATGTAGTAAGATGGGATCTTAGCTTAATGTTCTTTTTCTGGTATAGATTAAAGATGAGTTCTTAATAGAAATATCACAGATCCCGACTCAGCGTTTTTTACTTGTCAAGATCAGTGTCCCTTAGTCGCAAAGAATGTGACCAGAAATCTTATCTAAACGCAAATTTGAAATTCTGTCACCATAGGAAAATTCATTTTGCTTAGAAGGGAGAGCAGACTAAGTCTTTGTATGCTACTAGTTGCTGCAAGACTACCCGAGAGAAACTTCAGCTCTATCCTACAAAAAGCTATCTTTCTTTGTAGTTGTAAGTACTGCCCCGTTCTTTACTCCTGTGTTTCAGATCGTTATGTTGGAGAACTCACAACGTTTTATAAAGGGAGTAAATTTCTGCAGAAAAAGCCACTGAAAATTTAGATGCATAGAGATTCTCTATACAATATATATGCTTCTGTTAAGGCTATACCTATATCAGTAATATATTATTTTGGTTATCATATATATTTGGTTATCAAATTTGGGTATATGAATTACAATAAACTGTAAAAATATATATTAAACAATAATATAAATATTAACAAAATTTAATGATTAAACGATTTTCAACTGAATTTAAAGAATATAAAGCATAATTTTAGGACGAAGTAAATACTTATATAAAATTTTTTGGTTTCTCCTAAAATTTTACCAAAAAATATTTTATAAGAGAGCGTGATCCATGTTACCTTGACCGTTTACTTAAGAAATAAAACTAGTGTTAAGAAAGAAAGTCTTTCTTTTCCATACTATTGGAATATATGGTTTTGGCAAGACTACATCAATTTGAACCATCTGTTACTCAATAGTCAGCTTATCTCCAGTTCTTGACCCCGTCTAGTATATAGTGACTGACACTATTCTAGTACACTTTGGTTTTTATTGCAGTGCTAGTTTTTTTTCAGTTAAAATTATACTTCCACAACACGTTTCTAGATTTGAAGAGACTTGACGTGACACTCAGACTTCATTAAGGATTTTTGAGGGTTTTATACTCTTTCAGTTATATATATAAACTCAATATGAATATAAGTATGAATAATAGCTCTAGAGTTATCAAAAATTTTTTAAAGTTATTTGGTTTAACGATAACCCTTAGTCTTAATATGCCTTTATATTAAAAGAAAACAAATTTGAAACTGTTGATAAAGATAAATATGTTATAATGTATGTATGTGTATTATTTATTATATATTCATAATATATATATTATACATATAGTATATCACTATATAATATAATCGACGCACACATAACTAAATTTATGGAAAATTTATTAAGCAGATATAGATGCTTAGAATAGTTAAAAGTTGTGATATTTTAAAGACTCATATAATGGAGATAATGAACTTTTAAAACTCTGTCAAAGTATACACCCTTGTCTATTGCCTTTTTCAGCTAGACACTGTTCGTTTAAATTTCAAAGCACTTATTTTAAACAGTATTGTCTTTAGCTTAGATTTTTTCTGGAGTTCAGTAAATAGAGAACTAGTGTTCTAGTAGAAAACTTATACTATCATAAGCGATATTGGTGGGGATGACTAAGGCAATGATCTCAACAACGATCACTTGTACTGATATGAAACATTATTGCCGTTAGTTAAGATTTCTTTTATAGTTAAGCTCACTTACTCTACCCAGTAGAGAATTAATTAGATTATGTTGAAGGTATTTGGGCCATTGCGCTTGAGCACTTTTAAACTTTATTAACTCGCGGTATCTTCAAAACACCTTGTTACGCCTTGACTGTATTATTGTTTATCACTTCATCAGACTAAGCAATAATTGATGTCAGATCTGCATACCTCCCCGAAGAGCCTGTAACCATTCTGCGATTCGATAACGCGGTGTTGGTAAGTCTGTCAGTTTTCGCAAATAATTTCAGGGTTGACGAAATGCATATCAATGTATGATCTTCAGAATGATATTTTACGAAGAAAATAGAAACTCCGAGATCACTAATGATGGGTATTAGGCAATACTCGAAACAGCTGTTTGGTCAATCAAAGATTCAATAAATTAAAAATAAATAAAACTAATTGTTGTTGTGATTTAATATTGTTCGAAGTCTCTCCATTAATTATAATAGTTTCTATTAAGTAAAAAAGGCACTGCCGTCATAACTATCGTTAAGATCAAATTTAATATAAAATGTTTACCTAAATGTAATGCAAAATTCTATATAATAAAAATTTTAATAAAATATCAAGAAAATGTTGTTAAAAAAGTAAATTGTGCTTCTCAAAACAAGAAGTACTTAAAATACCTTTGTTTGTCTTTAACAAGACAACAATATGATAACTTTTCATTCGGCTTGAAAAACAGAATTTATTTCCAGTGAATCATAAACTTCAAAACAATTACAATACAAGATATACATGAACTCTCAAGTGCCTTAAGTAATTGATATTTTGCTTGTAAGGTTCGAGTGTTGAGTTTTTCCGGAAAATATATGATATACTGAATAAAAATTCAATGAATTTCAACATATAAAAATGATCTGTTTCAATATCAAATTTAGTAGAAAAGTAAAAGAGTCCAAGTTTATAGCATCAACCTCCAAAGAACTTTAACTGTATAAAAATGCGAGCTTGTAAGTATAAAATTATTTGAAACTATTTGAAAAAATTAATTTCTTTTTTAAATTAAAGTTTACTTGCTACTTGTCACCATTTTGGCTGCACCAGCACTCCTCAGTGCACATGGTGGCTATAGACATCATATAACATCGAATCAGCATCCAGTAGCCAATAATGCACCGAATTGTGCGCTTTATACGAATGGTGCATACATACCAGATACTCTGAACTGTGCCCGTTACTATGTATGCGTTAACAGTCGGGCTGTGTTAAATCAGTGTCCCTCAGGCTCTAATTTCGATACTATTACCTATCGTTGTAAAAGTGCATCATTGGTCAATTGCGACTTAAATCGCAATCCAGTAACTTCAGCACCACAAACTGATTCAACAACGGAATGCACAACCACTTCATGCACAACCACATCCTGCACCACAACAGTAACTCCACCAGATAATGTTTTACGTATATTGCGCAGTGTTACCGACTGTATGAGTCTTGATGATGGTACCAATTTATTGGATGCACACCATTGCCGTCGTTATTATGTGTGCTCAGGCGGTGCTGTGAAGCTACGTAAGTGCCAGAGTGGACAGTGGTTTGATTATAAATTGGCAGAATGTCGCACTTCGAATCTTGTTAGCAATTGTCCAGCTCAACACAACTAAACACAATAAAATATAAAAATTATTACAATATATAGAAATGTTCTAGAATATTCATATATGCACACATATAAATATTTGCAATTAAGTAAATAATAATCATTTTATACCAAACTTTTTTAAAACAAAATTTTGTAATATGCACAAAGAATTAGAAAGTTACGTCGATTATCATCAGCAATATAACTAGTACCGATATCATTCAATTTGATGTCACTAAGCTCTGGGGATCGTAGTCTATCGCATTCATCCAGCGTAAATAACATAGCATCTGTCTTGAAAAGAGCGTGTGCTGATAACTGACAGCACTTCCATTTGGAGACATCTATTCCTTGTCCATCTATCTCAAAGTTGTTCCTTGTTAAGTGAATATCTCAAAGTTGCCTTTGAAAAGCAATTTAAACTAAATGTTGTTATTTTCAGGTATCGTCATTATAAAACCATTTAACCCGACACACCTTCTATTAGCCCAGTGAAGAAAGGTTCTTCTAATAATTGCAATCCATTTTTTCTTAGTCACAGACAAAAATATGGAAAGAATAATGGATTCTTTCTTAACTTTATCATAACAACTTACTTCTTGGGGTCTCCAACCTTTGAAGCATCAGTGCAGTGGCACAGTATACAGTGCCTCATTAGTAATGCAGTGAGACAACGAACTGCAGGTTAGCTGAAGTCCAAAAGATTTTTTTTTTTGCTTCCACTCTAATGAAGTCCATCAATTTTTAGCAGCCTCTCAATCTTTGCATTTAGTACACGAGTCTTTTGTCTCTGCGATGGTAAATTTCTTTATGTTCTTAAACAGTTTAAACATTGGGGTTTGTATCGATGAATGAACATCAGTAATGTGCCTTTAATAAGGTCTTGATTCCAACATGTCTACTATTTTATTTCATTCAATATTTTTTGTCTAGGCATCCAACAGAAATAGACTTTGTGATGATCGATTTCATCATCTTGGATTCGATTCCTTTCATAACTGACTGACTCTGTCTTTTTCTCTCTGCCTTGCTTCATGAAACACGAGTAGTGTGTAAATCATTTTTGCTCAATATTCCATAGTGTCTGTGACTAGAGCTGATAACAAGAATTCTGATGATGAATTATTCAGCTGAATTTACAGAAGTAAAGTTTAAAACCCGGCATATCTTCCTGACAGAATATATATTGCAGTTTATTAAAGAGTATGTGTTTCTGACTGTTTACAAAAATAATAGTATACGAAGAACAAAATGTACCTGATTGTATTTGCCTGGCTGCTATTTCGATTGAGTATATCTCAGCCTGAAAGACGCTGCTATTGTCAGGAAGTCGACAACTGCCGCATCTGTACGTCACTCGAGTAGGTACTTGCTCCCGTTCCAGTCTCCAGTTTTAAGCAATTTCTGTTTATACTAACTTGAGACTTGCCTGTTACAAATCTCAAATACCATTCTTCCTTGCTAGAATACAGAGTAGGAATACTGGTTTCAAAGTTCAATACTGGTATAAGGATTGAATGAACCGAAATAAAAGACGGGTTAGTCAGAGGAGGTTTTGAAATGCATATAAATAAGATTGAGCTCAAATTAGTCTTGACCAAGCAAATTTCCTTTATCCATTTTATCCAAAATTGTGTAGGACTCTTGTAAATAATTTATAAAAAAACACTTTTCATGCAAACGAAAATTGTTTGCTATTTTCCTATTTTCAATGTTCTGTTCTGGGAATTTCCTGACAATTTCTAATGGTACATGTAGTTACGAAAACCTACATCGCAATGAAATACAAAATTAAATTTTAATTTACTTAGAATTTTACTAAATCCAGTAAAAACCACAAAAAGCTTTTAAGACAAAAATTTATTTTTGTTATTTTTAGGCTTTAAGCATTTCAAAACATTAATCAAAGTGATTTTAAGTTGTTTTCTTCCAAAAACCCATAATGCATTCACATTTTCTCAGAAAATCTGAAAATATAAAAACAACTCATCACTTGCGATCCTGTCTTTAAATGACCTAAAATCATTCTATGTGCTTTCAACAAAAAACATTTAGTGAAAAATTTCACTCTTTCCCCTACTCCGTGCATTCAGAGCCTCTGCTTAAATCTTACGCCAATTTGCTGCTTTGATTTAATTGCCCAAATCAATGATAGCCACAAAGACTTTAGAGCTGACGATGGCTTCAATTCTGTACCACATTTGACCTCGTATGGCCCTATTGTTCCTTACTGTCTCTAATAAGCCGCATATCCTTTGTTTTTTGGTATTCCTTTCGGTTTTTTGTGTGTGTGCTTATAAGGTTTTCATCTTTTTTGCCCATTTTATTGTGTTTGGTAATTAATTTTATATGTTTTCGTTAGCTTTTTTTTTTCTTCTTGACACTATACTATAATATACTTTCCTTAAGACTAAGTATGCAGAGAATGAAGGAACAAATAAAACCTCACAAGAAGAAAAAAGAAAAGATCCGCTTAATCCGTGCGTAAAAATTCATTAAATTCTTGTAGATTTTTATATTTAGTCGCCTTATATGTGCTTCGGATACACTTGAAGAAAAATGTTGAAGGAAATAAAGGATATTTTTTTAAGAAACATTGTTGATGACACAACGTCAAAGTACTCTGGAGTGTTTAAGTTCAGTCAAACTGTACATAAATTCTTCTTGCCCTATAAGATTGCTTTCGTTTGGGTTTCCAGTTACAAGAATATCGCAGCAACTTTTTTTCTTTGGGTTAGGGCAGATGGAGACTTAAGATACGCAATTAGTTGGTTATTGTGTTCAAACCAAACTGAAATTAAAACTATCCAAGTTGCAAGGTATCTTCGGAACACACCATTTAAGACGGTTTCTGGTTAGTAAGCCTCTTTGATTGAAATGTCCTTGCATTTTATAATTTCTTGTACCTTATTCGAAAGAGTATTTAAATCCTTTTTAGGCTGAGGAATGAATTGCGTAGTATATATGCTACGAACTTATTTTCTGAAAGATCATTGATGAAATGTCTTCACTTCTCTTTAAGTAGTGTGTTTGACTTAATTAAACCTATATAATTGGTTCTGAGTACCATGAGTTTTATACGGTAAAACCATTTAGTTAACAATATTAATAGGATACCTATGTTTTACCTAATCTCAAATATTTAATATAATAATGTATTAAAAAAATAAATTAAAAATTAAATTTGGTTTAAATGATCTATTCAATCAGCTTTAATAATCTTCTAAAAATAATCTACACATATAGTTTTATAATAAGTAAAACACTAAACCGTATAAATTTCTGGTGTGGGTTCGTTCAGTACCTCGGAGATACTCTCAACCATTGTTTCATATTCCTTTCTGTTAAGAACTGGATACTCTCAACCATTAATTCAAATTCTGTTTGTATATGAGTCTTAACATCTCTATAGCGATTATATTGGCGGTAATCTTTATTTGGCAATGATGAGGAAACTTAACAGTGTTGAGTAAATTTAACAATGATGAGGAAATTTGACAATCATGAGGAAATTTGACAGCGACGAGGAAATTTGTCAAAATTTGACAATTTGATGATATTTTGCCTTGATTATTTGTCGTTATCTATTTGTAGTTCATACTCCCGATGTACTGTAGTAGTATATAGCACTTAAAACTATTTTTTTGGCTTGTTCGTTGATCAGGCATACATATATAAGCATATAAAGATATACGAAACATTATCATATTCACATACAGATTACATTTCAAATATTGAACTATTATCTTCATCTTCACTATATTGGATTGGATGTTTTCTCATAATAAGACCAATTTTAAAACTGTTGGAAAGCTTTTTCATATGAAACACATTAGTAAAATCAATGGGTTCTTGAATTTTTCTAAGTGTACTTCAACAAATTATTTATTATATGCTTTTTTCCCGCTCATTTTATGCTTAAAGAACAAAGAAAATATCACAAAATCCGAAAAGGGATAAAATCTAACAATTTCCTTTTGCTGCTTTGGTTACCTAATAAAGCCTAAGATTTGGGTTTTATTGTTTCAACATTTTGTTAAATATATTAAATGTCAAAACATTACCAAAAGCAAAAAAAAAAATAATAAAATCTGATGAATTTAGTATTCTAAGTAACATTGTGAAAGTTTCATGGATGAACCCTTCATACATTAAAAATTTATCAAATGAATTTAAAACTTAACTTTACTTTAATAAAGTTCATATATTAATTAGCAATCAACAGAACATTTAATTTTAGTTATTAAATGAATAATAATATTTTGATTCAAATGTTATTTAATATTAAAATTAATTATTTTTAGTCACTTTAATTATCTTTTCTGTGATTTGATAAATCTCATTGTGTATTGAACTAATATAATTGAAAATATTACAAATATGTCCATTATAAACAGAAATGATTTTATCAGTTTGCTCGTTAATTGTGGCAATGAATATTTTAATTAATTAAAAATAAAGCTTAAAGCAATAAATTATTAAATTGTTTCAGTGATGTTATTATTACTTAATTAGTACAACAGTAAAATGCAACGGAATTTATATATAAAAACGTTTAGTCCAACCACAAAGTTAAATTGTGTTTAAATATAAAATGAGTAATTAATAATTAATTAAAATTTAAATAAAATAACATTTTTGTTTAGAATTCTGTTTATTATCAACAGAGATAAAATTGAATATAGGTTTGATAACATTGGAGTGACAGCCTTACACACCAAAGCTCAGTTAAGCACAAATACTATGACACCACAGAAGCTTATTATAGACAATTAATTAAAAGTAAAAATTTTCTTAATTAATTTCAAATTATTACGCTATATAAAATATTTAATGATTTTTGGAAGTGTTTACACTATCGCATTTAAGTGTTTAACATTTAGTGCCTTACTATAAAAACTTCACAAAAACTCAAATTAAAAGTTTACGACATAAAATCGCTTTTATTTCTTGAAAAGCGTGATTTAGATATATAGTTTGGATATAAGACAATACTTCTAATAAAGCTGCCTCGCAAATATATAAAAGTATTTAATAAATTGTAAAATTATC